CATTGACGACACAAAATGTATGAGATATATTCAGAAGAAAACCATGTTCCTATTATTCATATCTCATTGCACAAAATCAGGATGTTGGTAGAAGCAGAAAACAGAATAAATCGATGGCGCGACACAATCGGGTCCCCCTCACAATAGCAGAATAAAAACAAATCCGTGTGCCCCGACAATTAACGCAGTACCATGTGTTACTCATTCCGCGTGATGAGGACCCAGAAACTCGGGGGGTCGGGAGGTCGAACTGGCGATATATTGCGCCCGGTAATTACACCCAGCGGCTACCAGGCTGCCATAGGATTAAGGAGCTATACGCCTTAAAATGAAGCATTTTCCGCTAACGTAATTTATTAGAGGCGATTTTTGCTTCTCCGCTTTATGGAGCTCTGGTAAATTAATACTAGTGCGATTTATTGTTTTCACTTTTGTTGTTGTTGACTTTTATTTTCGTTTCGTAAATGGTTTTGAAATGGACAAGCATGGAAGGTTGAATTTGAAAAATTTTTACTTCAAGCAGTAGATTTGTTGGATTTGGAAACTCAACTTAAAATATCTTGTTTTAAAATCATACCACACTGAAAAAATTAATATCTGGTACTGATGTTGTCATCGCAGAAAATACAACACTCTCTTCCCTATACGAAAATTATTCAGGACGAACATTTTTCTAAACAACAATGACAATAACGCTAATTCACGCTTAATAACCAAACATCCTTCGAGCAAGAGTCCATTACGAAAACAACATAGCCAATATCCTTAACAATCTCTATACGGCTCCTGATCCCCTGGTTATAATATTTACTGGTCACACCTATAATTGCCTGATTTAACGCAGTTTGTATGCGTTGGCGACGGCGGTGGATTTCATGAAAAATATTTATTGTCCGCCCCGGACTCCGTGGATTAGACTTATTTGTACGTGACGAAGTCGGTCGGACCTTTTGTTTTTCGACAAAATTTTTCCGCATTTATTTATTTTGTGGAGTATTTTTGTCGAGATGGAGTAGGATTACAATGAAACAAATAAAATGTCAGGCAGGGTAGATATTTTAAATACGTAGAAAATATGAAATAATTGAAATGGAGCAATATTTTGTCATCTGTGTATGAACAATCAATCACCAGGATGGCATAGCCGGTCCGGATATCTCAGACATCAAAACGCGATCCAACCGTCGGACGGTATCCGCACTGGATTTGTCGGATTCCGTAAGCATTTGTTGCGAAATCCAAGTATTATTCACCCTTTTGGGTCCCTGTATCGTCAGCAAACGTTTCTATAAGCTTACAATGATACTTTTGTAGTTCAAACATTAAACATAATACTGGTGTTTAATGAAACGCGAGCATTTTCTTTAAACTGTATTCGACTATGCAGTTATTTCAATAACTGTTTTACTTCGAAATAATGAATAAGCAATTTGTACGTAAATAAATAATGACACTGGGTTCATTCGTACAGCACAAGTTTGTATTTTGAAGCAATTACTTGGGCAATATGTTATTTGTCTGCTGAATAAGTAATCTCATCGCGGGTGGGACCCGATGCGCGCGCTGCATTCCCAAATTAACTGTCACTATGAATTTTGTACGAACGTTCGGATATTCTTCCGATTGCTTTGTGATTCGATTAGTTTTTGCGATAATTGTTGCGTAATTACCGTTTCAACGCACCCCGTATTGGTATAATGGCAACAACGCTGGTGATCCGATTGCAAACCAGTAATATTTTTCTGTTTGATAAAAATTCAGCTGAAATTCTTCCATATTAGTCCAGAGACATTAGTCCAGAGCAATGTGAGAAGTGTATTGTTAATGTTGTTGTACGTATTTTTAGTGAACATTAAAATTATCATAAATTAACCCTAAAACGAAACATGGTGAATTGACGGCGAACATACAGTGGGAGGGTTTAGCCAAACTATCCCTTGCAAGGGTCCCAGTAATTACTTGAGCGAAACATGGCCGTGCGTCCGATGCGTCTAATGTGTTGTTAATATCAAGATTAGTTCATTAACTCTTCATCCGCCGGCCCGGGGTCCATAACACCCCAGTCCGCCGGGAGAGGGGTCCCGGCGCAAAAACGGCAAATTTTACGACTCTTAAGAGGGTATCTGTTAAATCGCGTTTTGTATTAATTTTGACGGCGAGTTTTACTGTTATTTTGATGTTTTAGCTGCAATTAACTGTGAGGTTATAAGATTACATGGTTTAACTTTGTTTTCCTTGTGTAAAATTATAATTTCTGAACATTAAGATACGAGGTTTACGGATGTAACATTTAAATGAAATGCCTGATGGTTCCTTTGATTAGCGAACGCATTTAACAAAGCTTATTCTTACGAACAAAATGGCAATGTATAATAAAATATTCAGGGGTCATTTAATCCTTTAGGCCAGAAATGTTAAAATACTCTGTGCTATAATAAAAAATGAAACATCCAAAAGCACATTGTTTTCCACGTCACAAATGTAATAAATCATCAAATTCATGAAATACGGAACATAGTTCAACAATAGAGCTACACACATTTGACATTACCGAATTTGCATTTCTATGTGTGTTTATTTTATTTGTGACAACGGTCGGCCTAATACCAGGGGCGCATAAATCATAGGCGATCTGGATTTGTTCGGAAGGGTTGGCGATACAATTGTTTGATGCACATTATTGCACATGCGCCTGATATATCTGTTTCGTATGCAAATGGGACTAATTGTAATAAGATTTGGTACATTACCGCGTCATCTGATACTCGGAGGGGAGCTCTTGTTTTTATTTTATTAGGTGATGCTTTTATGGCGATGTTGGTGTTGGTGTCAAAATTGTATTTTCAACTGATTTAATTAGGTAAATACATACTTTTGAAACATGTTGCTTTAAGCTGAAACTTAGCTGTTTTATCAATCTTATCGTAACTATATCTGCCAATATAATAACCAGTATAACACATAAATAATACAAGAACGCACACACAAATGCTACGCTATAATAATTAGTAGAAAAACACATTCACCCAAGAGAATCGCATTACGTAACGATAATAGGGGCGGGCCACTCGATCTCATGATGTCCTGGTACCAACTTATTATTGCAATTGCTAGATTTTCCCGGCTTTTCCCTAAATAGGGAAAGTTAAAAAGGTGATTTGATCCGGGAAGCACGTCCCGGCGAGGGGGGTAGAAAATAGGGATGGAAGTCCTCCGGTACCTACAGAGTATAAAATTTAATTTCGACTTCCAAGTTTTTGGATTTTAATTACCTGAAAGCGAATTAAATAATGAGTATTCGGGGTTGAGTGGAATTCCTTCAGTTAACGCTGAGAATTCGCATTTTGCGAGAAGGAGGCGAACGTCGAGGGGTTGCTGTAATTTATAATTTATCCTTACTTGATTCGGAATTACAATATCACGTAACATTACATTTACCAGGAGCACTCGTAAAGTTATTTGACAAAGAGCAAATTCAGAAGGAAGTAAATTCTTCAGCTAAGTGCACATCTACCGTACCCGTTCGAAAGTTTGTGTTCTTAAGAAAATTTCACGAATAACGGGTGTAAGGATCGACGTGTATGGTTTACTTATGAAACTGGATCTTTTCTTGGCCATATATTACTTATTTAGAATCAATTTCGGACAAACTCATCCATTGACATAAACCATTAGTTATTAGTTGGCACAATTTACTTTGTCACGACTCAGCATCGCAAATACTAGTGCGGACTTGGTAAGCCGGTGGGGGTTACGTACCGCGCCCCGAATTAAGCGTTAATTAGGGAAAAACGGTATTTATTACCCCCAGGTAATAGCTCACTCTACCACCTGCTGTTTATGTAACTAAATACAGGAAAAACTTTATTTTCTCGGCCGTTTCGTTTATTCCTTTAATCGCCTACGAAAATTGGTTTTATGTTTACTTTCGGTAATTTATTAAATACTCTCTGAACAGACCTTTTTTAATTGTCTGCTCGAAGTGTGTAGAACACGACACAGTCAATATTAAGATCAAATACTTGTTATAACAAAAATTATCTGCTCCTCCAACAATATAGCTTTGTGCAGTAAGTACCACAATAATAATGATCAAACAAAATTCATATCAACGATAAGCTAGTTTCAAAACATTTAAATTACAAACACGAACTGAAATTTCCACAAAACTTTTATCGGACACCCCCTTGTCCAGGGCAAATCCCAAAATCGTAATCCCGAGGTACTAGGGCGACATAGCTTATCGCCGGTGGCCGGAGCCGACGCCAAATGAAGGCATTAGTTTTCATAAAGCCGGCCGAGATAGCCCCCGGTCACTCCCTTCTGAGGGATGCTCTCCTAGCACCTAGCTTGATATATTATCCAATGATATTTGAAACCTTTTTGATAAGCGAATCTAAAGTTATTTCAGTAACGGCCACCATATCCAGATAACAGTCATATGTCTTATGAAGTATCTGAATATTCCACCAGAAAACATGTTCAGTTCAGTTTCAGGAACAGCTTATCTGTTCCAAAGAAATTAGTTTTGCCATTAATAGGACAAAACACGATAATGTGATTGTAGAATTCCTTCTCAATCCATATTATAGTTCAAAAGACTTATGCTGTCCTAGTAATATATGCGATCCTCAGCCCTCACAAAGCCAGGATCAGCAAAATTCGACATAATTCATTACGACTTACTTGTTTTTCCCGCCTGTTTGTGCAAAGAACTTTTGCGGAAACGGAAAACTAAGGTTATGCTGATATGTATGTAGATAATAATGAATAGTGTTATGTATGTATTGATGTGTGGCTGTTTATCCTGACAGCGGTTGAAGTTAACGTATTTGTTAGTTGGACACGGAATCACTTTGTTAGTAGTTTGGGAACGAGAACTGACTTCGAATGAACTGCTTAACTTTTATAGCGCCCTGGTACATGACTATCAATACTTAAATTATGTGTATGCATTTTATTTTTTCAAAATTCTAATATTTTGTCTGTGTTTGTTACAGGTTTATCAACGCGAGACGTAGGATAGTGCAGCCAATGATAGACCAGTCAAATAGAGCAGGTAACATTTTTCTTATACAGCTACGGTTCGATTTTTTAATATCAATTGATATAAATAAGCAGATTTTCTTTGCAACGTTTCACCTCTTCAAAATTATAATGTGCAACCTATTTGCACAAATCATCTTGGGACATCTAATCATCTGAAACACCCCAACTTTCAAATAGTCCCAAAGGTAAAAGAAATAGTTCCAAAGGCATACCATTACATATCCAAAATTCAAGATGCCATTACAGGACATTAACGCGTTCTGACCGCATCACGTATCGCTTCGGACGTTTCAAATTCTCCGAGCACGCCCCGAAACGACTTTGAAGTCTAAAATCGAGTTTGCTGACCACAAAGTACGGAGTGGTTCATACAGTATGCAGGCCGTCGCATGCGGCCAGTAACGCCGCCGTCCCATGAGGATGTTCTAGCTTTTAGCGCTGACCGCCCGTGGAATTATGACCGCCTGGTAACGTCCCAGCTGCGTTTAGAAAGTAGATTAGATAACATTACTTTACTCTGAGTAAAATAGAGTGTATTGTTTTTGAATACCGATCGTTTGTTTACTTACAATGGAAACGTCAGACGATTTTAGAAAAATAATTCGTATTGCGTTTGCACTGCTCAATAAAAATTATGGTAGGTATTTACGGGTTTACTCTTCTCACAGATTTTATCAAGAAATTTTATATCAATGCTGCTTTGTCTATTCGTGAAGGTTAGATATAACTCTTGGTATACAAACTAGACGCTGGACGTATAATCTTAAAAACAACTCATACAAGTATGTACCAAGGCAACAGTCAGCAAGAATTATGTTAAAAAGGCAAGCGAATGACACAAGCAGCTAAAATATACGTCGATAAAAGCTTTTTTTACCCATCCCGTCGACAATATGGAATAGAATTACAAACGACCAATTCTATTTTTACTTTGTAATTGTAGCACAGTCCATAAAACGTTCCCGGGTCCCCCGTACGTAGCCAACAAAAATTCCGTCCGAGGGAAAAAAAGGACGTCGCAGAAAAAGGGCTTACTCCTGCGAACGCAAGAAGGGTAAAAAAGAATAATGTCCGAATTCGTTGACCCGTCCCGAGCTATCCATCACTCGCCCCTCCGTCGACTATCGGCGATGTATGCTACCCTGGTACCTTTATCTAGATGTGTGGATGTTGCCCCCCTTTCTATTTCAAGATTAGAAACGGGCATTTTCTTCACTTCTTGTTAATTTCGTATATGAGAAAAGAGACAATATATCAAGAGAGGTTTTAATCGAAAGCTTCGGACTTTTCTTGATTACTTGACTCTTGCTTTCAGAATATCAGTCTCAAGACATTTGATAAGATTATACAAATCTTGTTCAGACAATGTCACGATATAAAAACTATCAATTTGATTCGATTGTTTAATTTCAGTTAAATAGTCTTTTGTTATTTCAAAAAATGTAATTGTAATACATCTTAAGTCTTAAGTCTTTGATTTAAATCACATTTCTATAAAATCAAGGTATTAATGACAAATATTAAAAAATGCAGTCGTAGTGTTGTCAATAAATAGGAAATGCTTTAGAATGAAAGTTACCAGGCTGTCAGCACTCAAATATCGCGACACCAAACACCGGGAGTACATAAACCGGGTACAGTTCTAAATCTCGCGAGCCAAACGGGCGGATGTGGCCTCCCGGCCAAGTTTGCCGACGACGGAAAATGGAAAAACCGGAGGGGTGGAAGGATAGATGGAAAATTGTTTTGGCAATGGACTAAAGAAAATGGCCACCGCATTTCCTGCGGTCAAGCCAAAAGGCGCTTTTCCAATCACTATATTATTTGTCGTGCGGCCGCCCTGCGTTTATGTATTCCTAGTGCGTGCGATGTGCTCCCCGTGTTTCTTTTGCCAACCTTCCCTATTTGCAGCGATTCGCTTGGCTTATTTTCAGCCATTAAGTTTTGTTTAAAAATAATGTAGCGTGAATGCAATCGTTTCCTTATTTTGCTGTGGCTGGCCTTCGTTTGTCATATTGGACAGTAATCAGTAGGAGTACAGGCTACATCGGTCGTCCATTACATTACCAGCACGTTAACACAGTCTATCTCAGTAGTTCAGCGTGTACACACGCCATGTCGCTGCGCTAATGAATTTATTATAAGCGCATAAATTGCCCTCTGATGCGACCCATTACGGCGCCTGACTGTAAATTACAATTCGTTGGAGCACCGAACGATCGTTTATTGGGCATTCGGCGAGGATTAAAATCCGTTCTCTCGTCACCGATGCATTTATTAAAAGCGAAATTAATATTCATATTTTGGAAACTAGCGACACGGCTTTGTTACCTCCGATGATTAACAGTTGAGGCGTTAATTAGACCTTGTCGATGTCCAGGAAAAATTGGTTCCCAGATATGTTAACGGGATTCAATTAATTTTTGTTGATACTTTTAATAAGGGAGCAATTGAGAACTTTCAACTTAAAATTATAATAGACAAACCATTGTTAAGTTACAAGACTCAATCTCATTCTAGTCTTCCAATTTCTAAACACAAACTAAGCACCGCATTCGGTATGACGTCGTCAAGATGACTTCCTAGTAAATCATAGTATCCTGGTAGTTGTGCCCCTGCTCGAGCGCCCGTTATTGCTTCCTGCGGCCCTGGTAGGAGACACGCGCCACTGGACCGACTCAATCACCCACTTTTGCATTGTTTGCGAAAAAAGCAATAAAAATCATCCCGGATGGATAATGGTTTCGGCATAGCAAAAAAAAAAAAGAAAATTGTCACAAATAATGTTCTTAAAAACAAGGAATGGCACTAGTACGGACCAATTTTGAACGAGGTTTTTTATGATGGTGGACCGTGATTCAGTAATAAAAAAAGTAATACTTTTAATTTAATTTAATATTAAAAGCACGGCTTATAATCTTTTAACAAAACAATGACTCTAGTTCAGATCAGAACACGGAGCACATGCGATAGTATTTTGGCATTACTTGCACAACTACACTACAAAGTCCTTACATTAAAATACCTTCTCACAGGCCATTGTAGGACACAGAGATGCAAAAGTCAAGAAATCCGCTCAATTTTACCACAAAACTGTTATGGCTTCCGTTCGCGATATATCCATGGGATTATCAATCGTGGTGTAATGGTGTTCGTCCATTATAGACATCGATTTCCGACATCCTCATGGGGTCTTTATGGGGGCACGCACCATTGCGCCTCGAGAACTAGGGACACATACAGAAGAACCACTCATGTATACTCTTAGGTGGCTATAGTTTTGAGATGTGCTTCAGATAAAGAACAAAGTCTTCTAAGATTTTTTGAAACATGTAAATATTATTGTCACTGAAGGACTTGCAAAGAAAATCTACTTACTAGAGGTATGTTTGAGATAGTTTTGACAATGATTTTTTGTGGTTGGTGTTCTAATAAAAATAATTGTTTTATGATATGGTAATTTAGAGAATCTAATATTTTTCTGTATCATTGAGGGAGACCTATGTTAATGGATGTCTTATAGCTGAAAAGATGATGATGATTCATCGTTTCGCCTCATCTGTTGAAGTCTTAAACGGCAATGGTTCAATTTGACTGATCAGAAAAAATATTGTGTTTTTGTAAGCGCCCCTATATCACATAAGCAACTCCTAATTTAGGAGGCTTATTGCTAAAGGTACCTGTACCAATATTATTCACAATACCCAGCTGAGGCTGGAGATACAGCCAGCCTAATTAACCGGGCAGTGTTCTATCCGTCAGTATTCCCGCACGCCGGCCCCAGCGGCGCGTACAGTCCGGAGGCGACAATGGGCTACATGATGGACGGCCAGCAGATGATGCACAGGCCACCCACGGACCCTGCCTTCCACCAGGGTTACGCACACTATCCAGCGGAGTATTACGGCCACCACCTCTAATGCAACCTGCATTCTTGTACATGTGAGTATTCGAAGCTATTTTATTATTATTTTTTTATGACATAAGCCAGTAAACGAGTAGACGGATCACCTGGTGGTAAGCAATCGACGTCGCCCAAAGACACCTGGAACACCAGAGGCGTTACAAGTGCGATACCGGCCTTTTGAGGTTTAGGAGTTTAAGAATCGTTGGGGATTCAGGAATTGGGGAGAATGGGGAAGGGGATGGTAATTGGGCCTCCGGTAACCTCACTCACACGACAAAACACAACGCAAGCGTTGCTTCACGTCGGTTTTCTGTGAGGCCGTGGTATCACTCCAGTCGAGCCGGCCCATTCGTGCTGAAGCATAGCTCTCCCACACTTAAATTCGATATAAGATTGTCGATATCGATGGCATGGTGGCCCGGTGACGCCCGCGGCCCGCCCCAAGTTAAACATCGTGAGGAAACCTGGGCTTATAATTTCTAATCATAAGTTTGAAATCGCCAACCCGCATTAAGCAAGCGTGGTGATTAATGCTCAAACCTTCTCAGTTTGAGAAGAGGGTTTGCTCAGCAGTGGGCACTTATAGGTTGTTGATGTGTGTGATAATATTGTAAAAAAATAATCTTCATTGAGGAAATGGTATGACACTGCAAAACTGACTGTGAATGTGAGATTCTGTAATTCATTACTCACGATTATCGGTATGGCCTGCAATGTAAAGTCCAACCACTAAGTTCCTTACTTTACGACCACACCATCTTTATTTACTCCAAAAGTTAATACCAACCGCAATTTATGAAATCTCTTCGTGACAAATACTCTTGAATAACATTTTTTATGCATTTTAAATTGTAATCACCCATTCGTAATTCCACTCGACGAAAATATTTCAAAGAGCGTCGTTAATACACGACAGGATTATAATTATACTGTTACAACTAACGAATAAAGTGCATAATGAATGTTTAATATATTCCGTTGTAAATAACATAACGAAACGTCAATATATTTGTATTTTTATTTACAGATATGAATAATGTTGACATCGCTCGGGCATAGGGCCATCCGCGAGCCACCGCCGCTCTCGCTGGGGCCGACCAACGCCTTATGTGATACTATCACGTGATAACTACAGGAGAACGATGCTACATGTACATAAAAAAACTAAACTAAAAAAAACGCGACACTTTTGTAATATTTGAAACAGTATACGATCTCCTAAAATTAAGTTTTGAAGTCAACTTTAATGGTTATAGTAAAAATGTAAATGTTATACGCGAAGTGACATGGACGCTGAAACAAACGGTATACAAAACGGTCTTATCACACGGAACAATAGGAGCAAAGTTGATGAATGTAACAATAATGTGGTTTGATAGTTATCCTATAAATATTTATAGCTAATTGTGTATTGTTATTACGTAAAATATAAATAAATAATTGAATAGTTGTGTAAGTTGTAACTATCACAGTGGGTCGCTGTCGACAGAAGTGTAATATGGGACTTTTTGTAAAGGACTTGTATTAATAGGTTTTAGGTTTTCGAAGCAAGTTTCTTTGTTACGAAGGAGCGGGAGACTCCTGTCTTGTATTTACCTGTAAATTGCGTTTACGTGTTGCGTCTGTTACCTACCAACTAATTTATTAAATGTAATTATCAAGCTCAAATTGTACATCTATTACGAATGTCAATTTCTTGAATATTAATTGTCCGCGTTTAATTTACAGCAAACATTTTGAATACATATCTTTGAATTATATATTTATTGTAATGATATTGTATCGAATATCGTTTCTCACCTTGCCTTGGTGTTCGATAGTGTAGCACAATTTGTAACCGATGTATACGAATCACAAAATGATATTTTACAATGTTAAAAAATGAGATTTTTAGGTCTATTTTTTGTCTTGTGGATGATACCTGATATTGATTGCCTTCTATGTTACCAGGAGACCATACACATGCAGGTGGGCAGATTAAAAAACAAGTTGAAAACGCGAAATGGCCAAGTTCGAGAGGACGAACGAGTCCGTTGTTTATGTTTTTAATCTGTGCATCTCTCACACATATAATATTTATAATTGTGTGATTTTCACGACTGATGAGAATCTGTGAGCTTCTCCTAGTTTACAAATACTCCGTGGTGTGGAAATAAAGTTTTCGAATAAATTGTGAACGTATTGTAAAATGTAACAAATCGGAGTCGCCACGGAAGACGTAACTGTGAGTGTTAATTGTAAAGTTAATGATGTTTTTCATGTCATTATTTATGAACGAACGGTGATGCTGAGTTTTATCTAAAGTATAATCACTGTTATATAAAATAATATATTGATAAAACATCAAAATAGTTGAATTAGTAAAGTGTAAAGATGAACTATGAAAATATCAAAAATGTATACGAATGTAATGTGAAGATGTTATCGCTCACAGTGCGATGTAGTTAACGAGTTTTCCAAGAAATTATGTCACGTGAACCACTTTATAGTAATGCGTCGCATTACAGCCTTATGTCATGTATACGAACGGGAGATTTAATGTCATCATTGGTCCTAGCTACGATACTTTGATAGCAGACTAAGTTATCCGAGAACAAGCTTTATTCTAGGCTAATTAAGACCACCATATTGTCTTGTAAATTGCAATACGACTGTTTGTGGCGTTATTTAAAAATATATAAATATATCTAATAATAATTAGCATCTATGTTTCATTTTGTCAATACCTGTTAGCGAAATAATTGAAGATTTTATCTGTTCGTTTTATTGATACGAATTTTTAAAATGGAATAGTAAGGGTCCCTGGATATTTCGGACAGTCGTATCGCAACTTAGCGTCTCACATAGAACCAAGTTTGTTAACTTTTGTAAATAATTAATCATCAAATTATTATTATTATTATACATACGTCATTTTTACTTTGTATAAATACGTTTTTCCCAATGAAGTCTCAGTATTAAATAAATTGGAAAGAAAATATTTTTTTTCTCTTGCAACACCGGACTTTGTTGACACACAAATATTATTGTTATTTGCATTGCGTGTAATATATTTTTATTAAGAGGAAAATCTTAAATAGTAGTTATTAGGTATTAATGTATTAATTGAAGAATTTTATTTTGATTTTTCTCTTTATTATATATGTATATGTACATTATATATAATGATTTGAAAGTCATCAAGTTGTTGTAAATATAGCTACTAAAATGGTGAACATGGGCGCGTCTGTCAGCGGTATAATTTCATTACGATGGAAACAAATTAATTATATATTTGTATTGTATAATTTCGGCGAGGTACATAATGTGAATGAAGATATACGATAAATAGTGAACTGGTTTATATATAAATATAAATGAATAATAAACAGCTGACGCTGACGGGCCGTTGTGGACGAAATCTGACGAAACTGTGTCGGCGGCATTATGAATGCTACGAATTGTGTAAAAAATATTAAAACCTGAAAAAAAATGTTTTGTTTTATTTTTACATTATCCTCTACTTGTCAAGTCAGTCATTACAATACCAAGTCAGTCATCTGTCAACAGATATTCACTACTGAACATCAAAGTTAATATGTAAATAAATACTTACTCAATAGACTGCCTCATTGGCCAAATGGTGGTCGCAAATGCGACTCGGCAAGGGGTCTCGGGTTCGATTCCCGGGTCGGGCAAGGTATTATTGGGTATTAAAAAAAATCTCAGTATAGTAGCACGGAGTCTGGAATTGTGCCCAGTATCCATATACTGGGCACAATTCCAGACTCCGTGCAGAGCCTATTGCCATCAATAGGCTCACCCCCTATTACATGGGACTCATAACATAAATAGTGACAAGTGGGTGTTACATTGTACAGCGGCATTAAGTGTCGTAATGTGCACAGACCTATCCCTTCGGGGATGAAAAGCGTGATGTTATGAACGTTATGTATGTAGCAAATAAGATAAATTAGAAATTAAACATATATGTTTATGTTGGGTTCGATTCTCACATGCAACAATTTTCAGTGAATGTAGCTCATGAACATGAACCTCTGGAATAGTTTGAAACTAGTCGAGTTCCACGTCAAAGAGTAGTAAAGGAGTAAGCTGAAAATAAATAATAAATTTAATAAATTTTCAGTAATATGAAAGATTAAAATTTTGATTGGTTGATTTATCCAAGATTGAAATCGCTAACCCACAAGTAGGAAACGTGGTGATTAATGCTCAAACCTTCCCTTGAGAAGAGGCTTTGCTCAGTAGTGGACACTTAAAGGTTGCTGATGCGAAAGATTCCAGAAACGAATTCCAGAAAAAGTTGCGAAGACTCTTAGTAATAGAATCATAACTGAAGCTAAAGAAGGTAAGTATAAGTTCTTTAAGTATAAGTTCTCTAATTCTAGGGTCAACTGATGATATGACAGGTCAGCAATAAAATGATGAAAATTCATAAAATAATATCTAACAGAAAAACTTGACGCAATAACTGTAGCCTATAAACGCTGCACATTCAAACTTCGAACTTCCATAGACAACTTCAAACTTCTATAAAACAAAAACAGAAAAAAGTCAACGGCAAAAAGTTTTGATACCTCACATGAATACGTTAAAATGTCTATAAATAATCTGTGGCAGCGACCGTTGACAAGCGAGGTGTTATGTCAACTGGTATAGTTTGCAACTTAGTGAATTTATTCGTACGAGGGACTCTAGTTGAATATTTTCTTGAACGATTTCAGTTTATTTCGACAGAAGTTTGTGGAAAAGTATTTTCGATTGATATAGAAATCGACATGTGATACACTTAAATGTTTTAAGTTTAAATGAGTATGTTTTATATCAGCATTAGGGTAGATACCTAATTTTATTTTAATGTCTGCCTGGTTTTAGATTATTTTAAATCATTAGACACGTATTTTTTATATTTTTACAGAAACGAATACTTTCGGCGATATATTGATTTGAAATGTCGCGTGACGTCACTTCTATGTACATTTTATACGTAGAAATGACGTTTTAGCCCCCACTTCTAAACTTTGATTCGTTTTATTTAAGTGTTGTTCTATTATACGACAAAATAAGAAAATACGTGTCTAATATTGATGTGACAACGTCTTAAATTAGGTTGCGGCTGGGAGTCACTTATGAAAAAGTGTAACGCTCGGTAACGTTACGATGAGTCACCGAACGAGAGAGAGGCCCGCCGAATGCCTTGCGTCTCTCTCCCACTCAACTATGATCGGTCTGCCGCGCGCGCAGCACTAGTTCATTCAATTCCTTGTTCCTATTGTGCAATTTAATTATATTCATATCAATAAATATTCTACCGAGAAAAAGACGTTGTCACGTAAAATCTTCGCCCGTAAAAACGACTTTACAGGCAACCATTTTTTTTTTCATTACCTATAACTTACGGACTAATTAAATTTAAAATTTTCACACCCTGTCATCATCCCAATTCTGAAATTAGTTTACTAAAAAAGATTTTATTTAAAATACACCAAGGTAAGGCTAAAAAGCCTTTATTCAACAGAAAACGAAAACCGTCTGATGATTAAAATAATGAAATAAGCTCGAAAAGATTGCAGGGGCTTTTGTTTTGTTTAATGTAATCAAATCGAGACCGCGTTCCGCGCTTGGATTGGCCAGCTCCAATGTACCATCCAATCAGAGCGCAAAGAATATGTTGGTTCATTGGATCCGGCTAAAACAAATTCGTACTAAGGCCTAAGACGAAATACAACCTGTTGCAACGGTCATACAGTAACATTTTTAAGTAGAAAAATATACTGGTCTCTATTCTTACGCTTTGTAAAAGTATTCACATCGAAAATAATATCATCATCATCATCATCAGCCTATAAGTGCCCACTAGTGATCAAAGCCTCTTCTCACACGGAGAAGGTTTGAGCAATAATCATCACGTTTGCTCAATGCGGGTTGGCGATTACAAACTTATAATTAGAAATTATAAGCCCAGGTTTCCTCACGATGTTTTCCTTCACCGTTTGTCAGTGGTGTCTAGATTTTAGAAAGTACATATAACTCGTAAAAAGTCACATCGGTACTTGCCGTTGGTAGGTTTCGATATAAATAATATACTGTCTACTATATCCCATGCTTAAGACTTCATTAGTAATAATTTCATCACTAAGATAATGAAAAAGTTTTGATATATTATCCTATGGTAGCGAAAATGCAATTAATGACAGGATTAGTGCAGTGGCTAAGTGGCTTATATAACGTAGCAGAGGGTTCGATCCCCACGCAATGCGCACTTGTATCACACCTATTAGGCGAGAGAGACTTTTGTGTGAGTCTACAATTACTGTAACTTGTGCCATTATTGTACATTTATAAGTAGTTTAGATTGTTAAAGAAACGGAGAATCACCTAAGAATGAACAACTGAAATAAGAAATCTGATATTTTAAGATATTTAAAGTTATCTGCAATAAAGGCTAATTTGGAAAAATCTATAGTTTACCAACAATAAATTATTTTCTATAAATAAACACTATGTTATTCAATATTTTTCATAGTAGTCTACTGAAATAGGCCAAAGGTTTAATTCCTTGGCACAATAAGTCTAGACTTAACTACCGAAATATTATAAATTTCCTTTAACTCTGTACTTAACTAATATTAAAAACTAACTTCATTTTCATAATAAAAAGTGAATAAAATTAAAGTAACAAGCAAAAAAGTACTAAGACAACAGAATCTCTCGAGCTGTTGCTACGAAACGGCATCGCTACGCGGCGTAGCGTCGTAGCGTCGTAGCGGCGTAGCGGGCGTGGCGGCTCGAAAATGGCGGACGACATTGAGTAATGGCACACTGGGACGAGTCCAGTGACGCGTGCGGCAGGGTTGGCACAAAGGAAAATGTTACTTTTGAAATGAATCTAATGTTTTAGGAAAATGTGAATGGAGAGAATTGGTTTTAGCTCTACTACATTTTTGGACTACACTTAAAAAAATTGACATATTTCTACTTAATGAAACAACCAGAGATTTCTTAAATGAATTGACATATATTATACGTAGATCCAGTAATGATCAATATAAATAGTGCTTAACCGACTTAATGGGATGATATCTGCAAAGTGCAGTGGCAGTGGCAGTGTTAGATGCGAAAACAAGATTTTTTTTATAATAATAATAAAATAATTTATACAAAAAATATAAACAGAAATTTCGTATGTCTTAATTCTATATGCTGCTATGTTATTCCATGTGCCTGAACTAGGTTTGAAACCTGTACCTCAGGCAATAAAAACCGCTTAGAATAGAGAACTTAAGGTCTAATTAACAATAATTATATAATCATTCTTATATTAAATTATTTGATTACTCAAATTTTACCTATATATAGAAATGTATACCTAATCACTTAATAAATTAACTTGTTTCTAATTTTATTTACATACAGTCAGCAAAAATTCGGTCTGGTCATAAGTCAGTTGTTGCAAATATGTGCTGACACGTTTTTTGCATTGATAGCAATTCAAGTTGTAAATACAAAGTTGCTTATTTAGCCTATTATATAAGTAGGGTCCTAGAAAACTATAGAATTTATTACTGTACATAAATTTTGAGGTCGAGTGCGAACTGCAAACTATATCATTTCTTCTCTTCTTTACAGTGTTGGTATCATAAGGGATCTGCGTGTGTTGCTTCAATATTACTTGCGTTATGTATAGTTGCCTTACAGTTAGTACCTTACAGGATTTGTATAGTTGTTCTGTGGGGAAAAGGAAAGGATAGGAGTGTGCTACTTTTAATATTGCTCTCTGTGCTCGTTCCAAAGACAGCATAGAGGTTTTAGGTACACCACCCCATGAGGTAATATTAAACTCGGAGATTAAACTCGGTGAGTAGTGTCCTGTTCTAAAAATCTACAGCACCAGAAACGACTGGCTGATGACGATAATACAAAAAGTACCCAAACCTACGAAATTTAATAAAAAAAAGCACAAACCATGGAAAACACATTTCCCAGCACACCATCCGACAGACACAGCCCTACGTTTTTTCCTCGAACGGAGCACAGTAAGCAACGCACCGATTGTATCGCTCGCGGATGCTCCGAGCGGCCCATTTGTCAACCTTAGCCCCCCTGGCCCCCCTCCCCACCAACGCAGGCACCCGGGCCCCCGGCGACAAAAGAAAAGCTTCAGATGAACACTGAAACTATATCAATTTATGTTTGCCTAGTAAGAGATGTGCAGGAATGCGCCCTTTGTACACATCAAAATTATATTTTTTTTTTATTTGGGGCTAAGGAATTTATAATATGCCGACTGCACGGTTGGTGCTGGCGGAGCAACCGGCTGCCCCACGAAGTGTCGCGGGTTTGATTCGCGCATGGAACAACTGTTTATGTGATCCGCGAATTGTATTTTTGTGTCTGGGTGCCATGTATATTTGTGAACGCACCCACGACATAGGAGACAATAGTCATAGGCTCTACCTTGA